GGTTTTGAATATGTTAAGCCCCTAACAATTAGAGAGAAGTTTGGGGCATTGAATAATGTGGAATGATGCAATTGAACCTGACAGCTTCAACAGTCAAGCTTCTCATGGGACTTGAAAGTTGTTCACACTTGGTTTCATCTCTCATCACACGCTGAGTATTAAAACCTTACTGGTAGGGAATTTAGACAAGAATGGGGTCTATATCAGTAATTATTTAATAGCTAAAAGTTAAGATGACTGGGAACTTGTCTTGCTTGGTTTTTAAGATTAGAAACATTTCGTGATATTATTTACAGAAGATAAAAGTAATTCCTCCCTTTCTGTTGCTTGTTTATTCAAATTAATATTCTTTGCAGTATATAGGTTATGCAATATATAGGTTATTCAAACTACAGTGGTGCCTCGCTTAACGGGCACCCCGTTTAACGGCGAATCCGCATAGCGATTAAGTTTTTGCGATCGCATTGCTACAATTTAGATAGGAAAAAATTGCTTTGCGATGATCAGTAAGCTGTTTCGCTTACCGATTTTCGCATAGCGATGTTTTTCTAACAGCTGATCGGCAGTTCCAAAATGGCCACTGGGTAAAAAAAATGGCCGCCCACTGTGTTTTCGCACCGATTCCTTGCTTACCGGGCAGCGAAAATGGCGGCCGTATGGAGGATTTTCACATAACGGTGAGTTTTTTGCCCATAGGAACACATTAAACAGGTTTCTATGCATTCCTATGGGCTTTTTATTTCGCATAGCGATGAATCCGTATAGCAACGATTTTGGCTGCATGAATTATCGTCGCTATGCGGGGGACCACTTTTGCCGCTTATAGAAATAACTATATAGGTTCTTTCATCTCCCACCTGAAATATTGTTGATACTGCACTGGGGATTGGCAGTAGTTTCAGTCGTGCTCACCCCTTTCCTACTTTAGTTTGGATGTGCAGAAATAACACGGTGGGTTTTTGATGTAAGAGTAAACTGCACTGGCCAGAAGAGAATGGCTTGATGGGACATAGACACGGTTCAGCCATATTATCTCTTGACTTGTAATGTGACTATGTAGGTAGGTAGGAAAGAAAACAAGAATCCATTCAGTCTTTCAAACCTCTGTTCATGGGGACCAGTAGATCATTGCCTCATGTTATTTAGCCCAAATCTCAACATGTAGAACTCTTATGAAGAGGAAGAAGTAAATAATGTAGCTTATTCAAAACATGGGCCTACTCAGTCTTAAAAGGTACAAAGGTAAGGCATATATACAACTGTATTCAAATTGATGTGAACATATTGTATTATGTGTTCTATGTCTTCAGCATTTTGCATTATCTAGAAATGTATTTTTGGTATATTTAAGCATTCAGACAGGTATTTTTAAAAAGAATTCTGATACAGTAGGAAGCACATGTTCATCTTCAGTTGGTATTTCCAGTTAAACTGACTCCTTTAAAATAGAGCATAGTTTTACATCCGTGACCTTAAGAGTGTTGACGGCATGATTTTGCATGTTTAATAAATGCTTTCTTTATCATTGAAACATGCCAAAACATGGTTTTCTACTTCCCAATTAAATAGCACAGTAATCTAATACTATGCTTACTTTTCTTTCCTAATTAAGTTGTTGCATACATAATAATACTCTTTAATCCCAATTTCCTTCATCTACCACCTAATTCCTTATCAAGAAGACGGTTTAGAATATAGTTCCAGTTTCAAGACCAATTTTATAAATCAACATTTCATCCCAGTTTAGAAGTCATGTTCAATATAGAATCTGCAACTAAAGAGAACAGTAAGAAGCATCCTGTTTCCAATAGTGAGTGTTGGATATAAATTTGGGATTTTCTTTGGGTTTGGGGGGGGGAAATTAAGTGTAAAGACTTGCATTTTTCTGGATTAATTATAGCAGAAAAATAATTTTACAAATACTCAGTGTTCCAGTGTTGTATCTGCTTCCATTCATCCTCCCCCATTTAGCTCTCTGATCTTCTAAAGACTGTAGTGTGATTTCTACAAATGAATTTAAATTTGCATATGTAATCCATTAACTTTGCTGATCAGTGGATCCATGCAAGTGGCAACTGTCATATGTGAATGAACTATCACAGAATGGATATCTCAGAGACAGCTTCCTTCCTGCCTCCTGTCACCTTGTCCTTTTCAGTAGAACCATTTCATACATTAAAGGTTGTATTTCTAAGCCTGCCTACCAGGAGGAATCACTGAACACTACCTGCCTTCAGGGATTCAGACTGACATGTGAAGAGGCCTAGCAATGCAGATACCACCATAATCTCGCCATCTTGATGTGAGTGAGCATCATCATTGTACAATTATCATGACAATTTGAAGAGGGCTTTAAAGCATGTGCAGTTGAATGTGCTTAGAAGCCTCTGCATGATCAGGAACCCTGAATATTGATTTATAAAATTAGTCTTGAAACTGGAACTATAATTAGTATTTATATGGAGGCTTCTCTATGAACATGCTTGGAAGCCCCCTTGTGATCTCTACAGAGTGCATAAAGATCTTATGCTCCTTCCCTAAGTGCTTTGGGCCAGCCTAATCTGAGCCATGATCCTGCCGTTTTTATGTATTCATTTTGACTACCTGAAGCAAGAGGTGGTCTTGCTTCCATATAAAGATGTTTAGGAGTGATCTATAAGTACTGAGTCTTTGTAACTGCACAACTGTATGTATGAATTGATTCTAAGAATCTCTAAATCTTGCTTTTGCTTTTGTTTCCTTTCACTTTTCTAACATTTTAAGTTCAAAAAATGTAGCACTTATGATTTTCTTACATAGTGAAATGGAAGAGCTATTCATGTTGTAAGAACATTAGTATTTGGTCAGCTTCACTGGTTTTCTTATGCTTCATTCCCATACTGATTATGTTGTGTGCTGATTTGATAGGTTGTTGGAAATCTGCATTTTTTGAGGCATTTTCTCTTTGTACCTGACTTTCTTTCTGACGTACCGTTGTAAAATATATATTGATGTAGTGGCAAATATAACAGCATTTTATGTAGCCTCATTCTTTTAGCTTTTTTATGGTCAGTGTCTTGATCACAAATCCTAATGGTTTATTTGTAAGGATTATAAAACTTGAATACAAGGATGGCTAATAGCTTTATTACATCATTAATTATATTTTTCTGATACTGTTATATTGTATTATAATTATATACTGGCTAAAATCCTGTTATGCAGTACAGTGGCAATAGTATCATCAGAAGTAGCAAATTGCCATTGATTGAAGGCAAATCACTGCTGATTAAAGGTGATTTCAGGATACATGTGACTTGTGCACAAAATGACACAAAGTTGTGTATAGCGAAGCCTTTGGTCAACAACAGTTTGCCGTTGCTGCTACTCACATCATGGCTGAACAAACTGGGCTGCACAAAAGGATTTCAGCTAATACATAATAATTTGTAATAAGTGAATGTAAATATTGTTAATGAAATATCACCCAGCCTCTCTTGAGATTGTATACAATATTTTTCAGTTCAGAATCTTATGGCAGGTAAAATTTATTTGAAGATAAATATTTTTGTTTGCATGTGTATGTGCATGTGTATGTGCATGTGTGTTTTGTTAGGTTGGGGCTTTTTTGTATTTTGTATATAGTTGCACATCATTAGACAAAACCCATTTAGATTTAAACATGTTGAAATTCTAAATTTTGTAAGTAAAGCCAGTCTACCATTGAACTTGGCAAAATGTGTAGCAAGTTTTACTGAGAATTATATATACCCTATCTAGTGGGGTTTATTTTATAGTAAACGAGCTTATGATTGTAGGCTTACTTTGGTAAAATTAAGCTGTACTTCACAAGACAATTTATTCTATAAATAGTGTTTGCATGTTCTTTGTCAAGTTTAAATTTAAATTGTGTATAATTTCACATGTGCATTGAATTTTCATTTTGCCATAGCCACACTACTGAAATATATAGTATACTAATTTTATAAACATTCTTCTGGAAAAGTAATGGCAATTCATCTGTTGCACCAAGCTTTGGAAAGTATTTAAACAAGATAGGTTAGCAGAAAGTAAGATAGTTGAGAGAAAAAAATGTGTTTCTATTGCACTGGATTAGTTCAGCGTTTTGCTAGCTTCCTTAGTTTTACCATTCAAGGGTTCATTTTCACTTGTTTGGCCTAAGTCCCAGAAGAGACTTTCAGAATTGTGGTTAGCAATGTGAATGAATGGACGAATGAACGAATGAATGAATACAAACTTTGGATGAGCTCTTCTGTAAGCCATGCTGGCCAGCTGCCAAAAAATGCATTCCTTATAAGGAGGTCAGGGCAGAGCTGTGAATTGCTGGGCCCTTCATTGTATAGAAAACATGTTTGTAATGACTATTTGCTTTCTGTAAAATAAAACAAAACTCAAACAAAAACTTGTTCACTTGTGTACTCAAATCAAATAATATGCAGATTTCACTAATGATAGAGTATAGCAAAGGAGCGATGACTCAGTGTCATTAAAGTATATGGCTAGAAAGGGGACCTTTTGACCCTTGTTGCCTTCTTGTGATGTAAAGAATCCAAGCCTTTGTAAGATGTTTGATGCCTTTCCGATTTTTTAAATAAATAAGATGGAATTAAATTGAACAAATAGTATGACCACATGGTCACTGTGGAGCTGAATCCTAGTATTGCTAGTTTGATTTTGAAATGTGACAATTTCTTTTTATACTCAGCATTTTGGATACTGGTAATTTTGACACTGTAATCCATGTCATTTCTTATGCTGCACACTGAACAGTGGAATGCTTTCATAAAGATTTTTCTAAATTGTGCATAAAAATGTGAGAATGAGACACCGTTCAGAATTTTTTGCAATCTATTTTTTCTGTTCAGAGTTTAGTTTCTGGAGTGTATACAACCACTCCAGTTCTTGGATTAGCTGCATTGAAAATTTAATTGTTTTTAATGCTATAAAATGATGATGATGTGATCCTAGATTTTCAGGATTCTCATTCCATTTCTATGTAGGCAAACACCTTACCTGGATCATCCCTCAGCCTGCCTGCAACTCATATGTATGTCAGTAGGCTAAATGCTACTTCGTCCATAGCAGCACATACAGCTTCATCTGAAAACAGTCAAACAGGCAAGTTAGACATCTTCAAAGTATTTCTTTTTGGCTGTATCAATCTTTTTCAGAAATTAGATTTACTGGCTTCTTGCTTTAATTTGTTTCCTATTGAACAGCTTGCTGAATCTTGGAAGAGAGTGCTGTTTTACACTATGTTGGCTTCTACTGTCTGAAATGTAAATGTTTAAACAGAGTTGTGAGCAGGCAGGAATGCAACAATGTCTCCTGTGACTTCTGTGATTGATGTGTTCAGTTTCCTTAGTTCTCTGCAATGAGAGTAGCATAGTACTAGGTTTTGTTGTGAACAGTTAAACCTTATTTGCATAATTCATGGAATTGTATGATACACAGATTTGTATGGCTGAGATCTTGTTATGCAGGCCCCATAGTATTTAATAATCTTGTGAATACTTGCCAATTGATGTTTTTATAGCACTGGCTCTCTTAAAAAAAACACACACACACAATTTTAATGAGGTCCTGGATTTGCTTTGTTTCATTCCATCCTTAAGGATTTGTTGACATGTCGTAATAGCCATGCCTGTCTGGGGGAAGGGAATGAGTTTAGCAGTTTACCAAGAATGGATCAGTCATGTCTTGCCCTCTAAGAGGCCAGAGGTCATTTTCTGCAGAATAGGGGGAGGGCAACCTTGAAGGGGGCAAATAGGGTTATTTTATTGAGAGTCCAAAGGAAAAATAACCCTTTTGAGTCCTACCAAGCAGACTGCTTCTGTGTTTGTGTGAGACAATTTAAATATATCTTGCTGTCTCTCTGTCTTTTTGCCTATATATAATAGCCACTTTTTAAACATATGCCTTAATACCATTAGTAAAACTTTTGGGTGGAAAGTTCTTGAAAAAACTGATTACACAGAGCAGTTTATGAGTTTTCCTGGGATGCAAAGTGTTAAAAAAAATACAAAGCCTGGGGATTTGCTGTGATAAGCATACAGATTAGCTGTCCACAGCTGTGATTCATTACTTTCGCTGCAGAAATTAAAAGTGGCTGAGGGGAGGGTACTGGGAATGCAAGCCATGCTTCTGTGCTGTGAAACTGAAAGCAGTGAAAGGAGTGAGGCTAATCCCTGGCTTTCTATGCCCACAGAAATGTGCACGGACAACGCCTTACCCATTTCAGTTAGCTATTTTAAACTAGTAGCTTTTTCTTGCATTAGCAACTCCCTGATATTGGATTACATTTTGAATTATCTCGGTATCTGCAACATCTCAAAATCTTATCTCAGAAAGAGTCACTCTTGGCTGTGAAATATTTACTCAGCAGATCAAGATCTTGGAGACAATGGCCGGAGTCTTGTTGGCAGGGGAGGTTCACCCAGAGGAAGTCTTTCACCACGGTAAGCAATATTTACATTCAAGAGTTAAGGCAAAGAAAATATTTTAAGGTGTGGAAACTTATCAGTCATACTTACATTTCGGTTGAAATGAATTATATATTAAGTGTCCAGATATTTTAGAATTTTTTTTTTTTACAAAACCAGTTTAATTAAGATTACACAATAAAACAATGAATTTCTTACCTCAGATATGAAAATGGTTTGGGGAACTCTACACTCATCACATTTTTACATGATCTTGGCTCAACTATGGCTACTTAATTTTATAGCATTTTACAGAAAATTTCACACATAGCTACTGAGCTATGAAATATTAACTATGCTTTTCTAAGAATCTTGAATGTGAGCATTTTTTTCCAATGGGTAAGGGTAGGTTATAGGTTAGAAGAATTTAATGTTATATTAGGGACAGTGAAATAAAATAAAATAAATAAAAATAAATAAGTAAATAAGTAAAGTGACACAAACATTAAATTATCACTAGTTCAGTTTATTTTGGATGGTGTTTTTGTTTGAAGAAATAGCATTTGTTGATTAATGTCATGTAAAGATGGAGCTGTACTGTTCAGAGAGTTCTTTCAATAAAAAAATTCTTCATAATTATTGGATGGTATTCTAAAGCTTTTCCTTTTAAAAAAAAGGTACAATAGCACAACATACTGTTAACACAATCTATGCAGTTATTTAATAAGTTGGTGATAAATAAAAAACATTGTTAGTGGAGGCATGTCAATGTCCCTTATCTAATCAGGAGTGCTGTGTCATGTACCAGAGTAAATGAGCTGTAAAGTGAATGTTAGTGATCTGTTGCCTGATTTTCAAGAGCCTGCAAATCCCAAAGACTGGCAGGAAGTATATATAAACCTCTATAAACCAGGCCAGCATTTTCTTAGGGACAAAGCACCAAAAGTCTTATCGTGGTGGGCTGTGACTGACTGCAGATTATACTTTCTATTTTTTTCTGCTTTATTTATTTATTTACTTATTTATTTATTTATATCATGCCTTCTTTCATATATGGTTCCAAGGTGGCTTACGGTATAATTGAGAAACAGTAAAATTTAAAAGCAGTACATTCTGAATATTAAAACTCAGTTAAATTGATTGTCAGATTAAAGCACAGTTTAGTTAGAAACTTTAAGAATAATTGAAAGTAGCAATTACAATTGTGGATAGATATGGCTGTGTTTTTGTACACAGCTTTTTCTCTACTTGGACTATTTATAACATGCTGATATTAACTTACCTTAAATTAAATAAAACTGAGGAAGTAATGTATTTGGTTATTCCTATGGTGTTAGAACTCTAGGCTTGTCAACAAAGGTATAAACTGACAAATAATTCTTTTTTTTAGTATTATATTTCTCCTTTTTTAAAGAACTTTTAGATAGATGGAACAGTTTAAAATGAAGTCACAGAGGGAATATTCCCCCCTTAGCTAAAGTCCTTTGATTTCGCCAGCATTTAAATATACTTATGTTATACCCATTTGATTTTCGTGTTGAAGCTCAGTTTCTTCTTCATTGTATATAAAGTAGGGTGTCTGGATTGTTGTTGCATAAAATTGTGTATAGATGTAAGAATGCATCAGAGGAATTATTGAAGAAGGAGGCAGGTATGGGATGATCTCTGGCCACCCCATCTCTCTCTCTCTCTCTCTCTGAGCTTAGTTTTCGTGCAATCTACTAGCCCTCTAGGCCTGTATAGTCTTCAAGCCTTTCTATAGGGCTTATATAGAGCTCCCACAGTGCATCCAAATTAGTGAAAGAAGGTTGTACAGCAGTGGTGCTTGAGAAACCCTTCCCTTTGAAAACATGTGGATAAGTGTACTGTTCATATTGACTAACAACTCCTGGTGGACATCTCATCTTAATTTGCTAACACTTAATGCAAACTATATAAGAAAAATTTGCATTTTTGAGCACTTCTGTGGAAATGGAAATATAGGTTCACTGTACTTTATATAGTGAAATACTTAATTACATGTGTGAATTCTTGTGTGAAACTGAATAATATAAAGAAGTGTTATATTTTCTTTCCACTATTTAGACTCCTGTACTGCATCATCAAAATTTAAATTTAAGATACCAAAGGGATTGAGTATTGCAACAGTTCTGCTAGCCATTCACAGAATATATTTCCTGGGTATAAAATATAATCTCTAAATTAGTTATGTCTTCAAAAGATATAATGTGGGAATTCTTAGAGCAGAACTTTGATTCCTTCTATTTTCTCTCTGCTAATACTCCTAATTCCTTGTTTTGCTATGATTTCTGCAGCTCACTAAGCTGCTGTTTGTAGTTAATTATCTCCAGGATCTGCTTCCTGAGTGGCAACCTCCTAAAGAAACTAAAACTGTATATTCATGGCTAGGATTTTTCACAACATGTTAACTTATGAAAACAGAATTTCTATCAGGCATTTTATGTTCTTGTGACTTGTTTTTGTTGTTTAAGAAGAGCATTAACTCCAGTTTAAGTGGCTTCTGTCTTGAACATATAGTTTAATTTGTTTACAACTGTTTAAGATCAAATACACTGAAAGTCTAAATATGTACAAAATACCAGTTCTCTTGTCTTTCATATAGTTGCTACTAATTTATATAACTTCTTGCCAGATATCATCCATAGTGCAAATGGGTTTAGTGCTGATAGTATTTTCCCAGGTAGTTTATACATTTACACAATATATAATTCAGTTTTCATCATCTCTTTTGTAAGTCCCACTATCTAACATCACTAGTAATCTTTATATATATAAAAAGGATAGTTAAATTGAGGTCCTTATGCTCCCTTTTTTCCTGTCAAATTGTTTTGTAAAGTAAAATCTGTATATCATACGACAAACCAGAAAATGAGACATTTCTTACTTCGTTTTCTGTCGCCACCACAATTTTTCTCTCTATGTCTCTTATAACTATGGATTTCTAGTAATATGTTTCCTATTCAGCTCCCATGTAAGTGGTAATAGTGTAACAGCTATAATTTATAAGTACCCTAAAAGTATACCAATAATTTCACAATAGTGAAAATAAGGCCTACTAAATTTAATGGAGCTTAGGACTGAGTAGTCATGCCTAGCATTGCAGCAGAAGTAACCATGAGTTGAAACTTGTATTGTCACATAGGAAATTTGTCCATAGATTCATTTTATCTATTAATCTAGTCAACATTGAATTCCTGTGAAAAGAGACAAATTACATTATTTGTTTTATAAGTTTCATCATGGACAATAGCAAGATTTGGTCAATACATTTTTGAATCAACAGGACATGTGATAACATGCAAATAGTGTCACAATGAAATAAGTCTGAGCTGTGATTTAGTAATATATGGCCTTTTTGTGTGTGCTTTCTATTGTGGATAAGGGCAGGTGCAGAAAGACAATGTATTGTTTGGTATTTATGGTTCCATGTTTTAGATCTGTACCTCAAACAATTGTGAACATCCGAAGGAAGTCACAGTTTGCTTGTAATATAGGCAGGAAATACTGTATTTGAATTCATCAACATGTTGAGTAGCTTCATATCCATGTTAAAGGGAGAATTGCTAAAGCTTACTTGATTTTTTTAAAGTATGAGTTGTAAAAAGCCTAACTGTAAATGCAATTGTGTAATTTTAGTGGGCTGCAGCTGTAATCATATCTCTCATTGCTGAGACAAATGTGCTTGACACTGAGAAGTTCGGTAAAGTCAGTCTTCAAAGAGCTTCCAACGTGCTCTGTAGTTTGCATGTGTGTTAAAAATTAGGAAATAAAAGTTTCAAAATTGTTACCATATCCACTATATTAAGGGCTGATAGGATTTTCTGTTTTGTGACCTGCAATAGCTTTACTGTCGACATGTGTCTTTAATTCTTTATTGCCTGTCATATTGATTGCTCTTATATTTCAAAAGGGTCTTGTTTTGTATATCTTATTAATTTATAGGTTTACCTATTCATAGGTCCGATCCAAAGTCATAGAGAAGTATTGGCTTTAAATAAGTCACTGGAATACACTTTGCATTGTTCTATAGTTTTTCCTTGGGGCATGTTCTGTGGATGTTTGATTAGGCTGCAAAGCCATACTTTTCTTTATCTTATACAACTGCAAATTAATTTTGTGGCAAAATCAAACAGGAACTGGAAGGGAATGCAGTAACTTATTTGACAGTTTGGCAAATCTGTTACTTGTCTGCTTTTTCCTAGGTGTATTCCTCACTAGTTTATATTAAAGTATATTTTCTGCAAAGCTTTTATAATTCCTTGATCAGTAAAATTTTTCTTATGTTCATATTTCATACCGTTTCCCTGAAAATAAGACCTAACCTGGAAATAAACCCTAGTATGATTTTTCAGGATGCTCATAATATAAGCCCTACCCCCAAAATAAGACCCAGTTAAGTGAAATCCTGCCCTCCACCATTATGCAGCAACCAAAGGAAGATGACATGACTGTATTTGAATAAATGTAGATTGCTGTACATGAAAAAAAAATCCCCTGAAAATAAGCCCTACTGTGTTTTTTGGAGCAAAAATTAATATAAGACCATATCTTATTTTCAGGGAAACACGGTATATTAGCCACCTGAGCAGTGTTAAGTTAATTTACTGAATAGTTTAAACTTTGCTTTTTGTACCAACGTCCTCCAAAAACTGTTACGTTGGGGTTTATTCATTTAACGGTGATGAGACTTAGAGGTTTTAAGGTAACCTCAAGGAATGTTTGTTTGTGAGAGGCTAGCAGTGGCCAAAGAAACTGATGGATCGGAGTTCCTCTCTGATCCCTGTTCTCCTAAGTCTAATTTATAATCTTTCTACAGGTCTCCCATAAATAGCTTACAGATTCACTATGATCAGTCAGGAAATAACAGCGGTGACCACTTGCCCCCAGTACCAGCTACTATAGAACAGCTTCTGGAGAGGCAGTGGAGTGAAGGGCAACAGTTCTTGCTTGAGCAAGGCACCCCTAGTGACAGTAAGTACTTCATGCATTTTGATCTGATATTTTGAATACTGAGTGCGGTTACCACTAAATGTTGATGACCTTGTAATATTCAACCGGGCAGCGTGTATGAATTCTATATGGTTGAAAGGTAATGTTAAGTATATTAATCCTAAAGTATACTAATCCTAAAGTATACTAATCGGTTTAAACATGGTTCTGTCTCTTGGTATGGAACATTACTTTCCTGACAGTGTGTTTCTCCAGAACCTTTGGGCCAGGATGGGTGCAGGGATAGAAGATCTCTGGTGGGTTGTAATGGAGAGTTGAGAGCATATATTTTGAAAGAGAATAACCAAAATATTGTGTGAATCTTCTTTAAGAAATGATACACTGATTTCATATGGATGTGATTGCATTTACAAATACGTGAATGGTTGAATAGTTTGAAAGTATTATTTTACAGTATAAGAAAAAAAATTCTTACACATGCCTTCCTAGTTGTTGGTAAGTGAGTGAAATGTAGTCTAGCTAGTTTTTTCTTTTTCTTTTTTTATATATATAAATGGTGCCCTGACAAAAATGCTAATTGTGAGGAAATTCATGCAGGGATAATCCTTTAAACATGATAGCTGGAGGACAGGTTTAGCTAAGTCTTATTGCATCTCATTTGGGCACACTGAGAGTCCCTTTGTATGTTCTTGAAGAGGAGGGATAAAAAGCTAAATCCTTGAGAAATGACCAGATGTGCCTGTACCAGTATACTTGTGTCTGTATTAGGCTCAGAGGTCATGTTAAACAAATACAATTTAGAATTTTCTAAGTGGCTTTTTGGGTGCTGTAATGGCTGAACTTTCTGTCTTGTTGGTTAATGCAAGCCCCAAAATTCATCCAAAATCCAAATTTGAAGGGGATGGTCTTTGGCTGAGGATATCTGTTATCCCCAAGAAGAGGGCATGGAGAGGACAGCAGGGTGCCTTTTACTCCCTGCTGGGTGCTCTTTAGAGGGACATTGAAAACAGCTGGAGTCTGTTGATTTAAAAGCAATAAAAACAGAGTAAAAGTTTTCATTGATTACCAAAAAACCTTTCAAATTTATGTAAGGACTCAACAGAACAGCTTTCCTGCTCTGACAATTAAAAAACCCAGCATGAAACTGTTTAGGAGTATATTGGCATATTAAACTTTACAACTCAAATTAAATATCCTTTTCTGAAATATCATTTGATCGTGCATGTTCCTGGAGGGATCTTTTCCCACTTCAGTATAAGTTTATGGCCGCAGTTTTCAAAAGGGGATATGCGTGCATCAGAAACAAATATATTACAGTTTGTTCAGAAACTGTAATCAAACAAATGATTGCATGTGTTACAAAAGGTCTTTGCGCATTAACCCAGGTGCTGGCTTGAAGCACTGGACTCTAAATATGCGTGTGAAGACCTTCAGAATATTTTGTCATAGAGGGCATGCATGTAGTCCTTTCCATAGGGGCATCAGGTTGTCTCAGAAATATACCATGGTATTAGATCACAATTGTAACTGGCAGAAATGTTGATCATGCAACAATCATGACTTAGTTCAAAAGGAATTAACAGTAGTTTAGCTTCCTTGTTTAAAAATCTAATAAGGACATCACCATAAAAGTAAAAAGTATACTCTAATAATACATTTGTTAAAAACTAGTTAGAATTCTGTAGCTGTGCAAACTCCTAAAATATATTAAGTTACAGTATTTCTTAATACAATAACCTCTTCACTGGATTTTTTCAGGGATTTAAATTAATTGGTCAACATTTTTGTTTAGTTTTAGGCATGCTGAAGTCATTACATCAGCTTCAAGTTGAAAATCGTCGCTTAGAAGAACAGATTAAAAACCTGACTGCTAAAAAGGAGCGCCTCCAGCTACTGAATGCCCAGCTTTCAGTTCCTTTTCCAACAATAACATCCAATCCCAGTCCTTCCCATCAAATGCATGTGTTTTCAGCTCAGGCTGGTAAGGGAAGAGAAGTAGATTTCTTCTTAATGTTGATCTCGGTCAAAACGTCTTGAAAGGTTTATGTCTATTAGTAAAATTACCATTGCTTCTTATCTGTTTGCTTAGAACATAAGTGGGGTAGCTTTGTTACTCCTTCCGTCTACAATGCAATTTGTGAAATCAGTAATCCTGAAGATTTTTTTAAAGTAAATGGCATGTATGTTACATGTGAAACTTTTGAGAAGGAGAGAGGTGAAACTGAGTTACAGTGATTAGTCTTACCAAACTCATAGGTTTTGCAAGACCAGACAGGAAACAAAAGTAACAATGTGAAGTGCTTTTAAAAGTTCAGTTCAAACAGGCTGCTTGCTGCCATGAGACAGCAGCGTTCTTAGTAACTATTTTTTAAAATTTATAATTAATAATTAATTCAATTTACATAAATATTTCAGTGTTTTGCCATTATTAGTGCATGTATATTTAAAATAAATTCAGTTTTGCACAAGTGTTTAATATAATGACTATGCTTTTCAGATGTAGGAAATAAGATGGTTCTCTTTTTCTTCTTCAAATCATTGTTTTAGCTGCAGGCACTGATTCTTTGAACAGCAGCAAAAGTCCTCACCTGGGAAGCAACTTTCTACCCGATAACTCCCTTCCTGTCCTAAATCAGGTACTGTTAGTTTCCCTTTTTCATGCATTGTAGATTTTTACTAGGCTAATATTGTGTCTTGATTATATTGCAGCAGTGTGAAGTTTGATACAGCTGAGCGTTTGTGTTTTCATTAGGAGATAAACTCCAGCGGGCAAAGCACCAGTGGTTCTTCTGCTCTTTCCACTCCACCACCTGCTGGGCAAAGTCCAGCTCAGCACGGCACAGGAGTTTCAGGAGTTCAACAGGTCAATGGTGTGACAGTGGGGGCACTCGGCAGTGGAATGCAGACTGTAACATCTACCATTCCTGCAGTGGGTGGAATAATTGGAGCTCTGCCAGGTAACCAGCTGGCAATCAATGGAATTGTTGGGGCTTTAAATGGCGTAATTCAGACTCCTGCCACGATATCACAGAACCCTTCTCCTCTCACTCACACAACTGTGCCACCAAATGCAGCACATCCTCTGCCAACGACACTGACAAATAGGTAAGCATTTGCTCTTCTTAGTTTCATTAGGTCATGCATGCAGCATTGCTTGAAAGCCTAGTATTTTCAGATGTAGCTGTCTTTATTTTAAAGATGCTTTGGAAAGAACTGTTACACCAGAACTGAAAAAGAACAAAGTACCTGCTTTTTAAAAACTTCCTTGTGGGGAAACTAAGCAGTTGTTATCTATTATGTCTGTTGGATTAAAAAAGCAGGTTCATTCACGTGACAGTGTATGTCTGTGTGATGGTCACATCACAACATAGATGCTTTCTTTTGAGTTTTCTTCTCTTTCAGTCATAGTACATTCTCACCAATTTGCATTCTGATGGTGAATGAAATGGTTAGAAAGTGAATATGAGATAAATCTGTTCACAAGAATGAGATTGGCCTTAATCTCTAGGGCATGGATGCTCTCAAGTTGCCATGTCCCTTACACTGATGTGTTGAGAAAGCTATCTAAGAAAATAATAATAGTGTTGCTAGATAATTTTTATGTCTCTATTATTAATAATGGAACACAGTACAATTTCTTCTGTCATTTTAACAATATTAACATCTAATAACTACAGATTTTTAAAAATAAAACTTAGAGTATGTGTCGATAAACATTTGAACAATTTCATCTGCAGAATGCAATGCACACTGATCATACTGCCTTCAGTGGTCTTTTCGGGTGGCGCTTTGCTAAGTTTATGCAAAAGATCGTTATCAGTCAAAATGTTCTGCAGATTCAGTAGTCGTTAAAGATTAGGAGAGAGAATGGGAATTCTGGGTAGTTAGTTATTTTCCCTTGCTCCATTGTATTTTACCCAGAACTGTGAATCCAACTGAAATAACAAGAAAATTTTGTCTGCAATGTTATATTACATCTACCAAAGCTTTTTAAAAATAGATTCTAGACTTCCTTGTCTAGAAAAGTTCAGTGAATTGCAGCTCAACATATGAACTCCAGTCAGTGCAGCTTGGGTTTAGATTTTTTATTTTTACTAAGTGGGTGGTATAGAAATAATCAAGGTATAATAGTAATAATAATCAAACAATCAGTTTGTCCAAAAATGTCTCCAGCTAAGGTTTCTCATTACTCTACAGTGCTTCTGGCCTTGGGTTTCTCCCGGACCAACAGAGACAACTTCTACTGCATCAGCAGCACCATCAGTTTCAGCAGTTACTGAATACTCAACAATTCACTTCAGTAAGCCTTGCCTTTTTATCATTACCCTTATTCCTAATGTTCAGGGGCAAGTACTGAAGCTTACGTAGCTGGAATGGCACTGCCCTTTGACATGAAGTAGTACATTAATGCAATGTGGGCAAATCCAGATGTTTGGAGAATTTTTTTTAAAAGTGGCTTTAAAAGTAGGGATGTTTTAAAGCTTTCTGCTCAGTGCTCTGCCACCAAGGCCCAAAGGAAGGCAAACTGTACATATGTGTGTGCACGAAGAACAGGAAAAGCCAGTGTCCATATGCACATTCCTCCTCGGGAGGGAGACGGCTCCCTGCACTGGGTAGTTTCCTTGCTTGCTAAAGAAGAGCTTTGAGGGTATAGGTAAGGCAAGGAGGCTGTTCTCATTCAGTACTTCCTTCACCGGGGAAAGATTTTGAAAGGTATGAATCATTTGGTGATTTCAAATGCTCTCGAGTATCCTTCCAAAGGCTCTTTTGATCACACACTCCCACCATGCAGTATTTTATTGGGGTGCCCACTTGCCGTTGCAAATTCTTCTTCTGTCCGTTCTGCTTCTCATTTTCTGTTCTAGGAGCAGCAAAAAGGTAACATTGTGCCATAAACCAGTGGTTCTTAACCTTTGTTACTCAGGTGTTTTTGGACTGCAACTCCCAGAAACCCCAGCCAGCAGAGCAACAGGACCTACTCTGGTCTGCATCCGCCATTGCCATTCAAGAACCTGGGTAGACTGAGCAGATGTTATGACTTTTGTTCTTTCCATTTTTTCTTCCCAACCAAAGCATAAGTAGTGGATCTTGTCAGCTTCGGAGGACGGTGCGGTATAACCCATGAAGGACTTTGTCCAAATAAAGGAGTGCTTACCCACCTACCCTGAATTTCTTCGGGGGTAAAAGCGCTGGTAGGTGGGCAGGGGAGTGGAGGCCTGTGCCTTCACCACAGTGGCTCTACTCAGGAGCTGGCCTTGTTAATGTTGTGACATGTCCAAAAATATACACAGAAGTGCTAAGAAAAACTTCCAGCTCTTTTCAAAGCATAGTTCTGCCTGCGTTCTGTATGTTCTAGTTCAGTTATTTTATTAACTATTTTTTTCTGCTCAAAATGTTTTTGTTCAGTGACATTTTCTGACTTACCTAGTGACTTACCTAATAGTCGATCCGTATTTTTTTTATCCAAGCCCTGTATGCTTAATTACTCCCTCTATTTTCGGAAGGTCCTGTAGACCAGTGGTTCCCAACCTTGGGTTGGCCAAGATGTTCTTGGACTACAGCTCTTCATCACCGGCTGTGCTTTCTGGGAATTGCAGTCCAAGATTGGGAACCATAACTATAAGCCTATTCTTTTTCTTCCTCCTCAAGCAATGGAAGGTTATTGTCACCATGTTAACATTTTATACTATAAGAAAATGCAGCCTCCTGAAATAAGGTGGTGTATGTAAATGAGGAGCACTTAAGTTCCATTCCCTACTACACTGTTTGATTACTCATTTCTTCTAATGATGAAATATTTTGACCCATAAAATGATTGACTAAAATGCTCCTCCACTGTCGTACTCAAGGAACAGCATCAGGCACTTCTGTATCAGCTAGTGCAGCAGCAACATCACCATCCTGAGGTACAGCAATTGCAGATTTCAGGAGCAACGCAGATTCCCATCAGCAACTTACTGGCGGGCTCTCAGGCATCTCCACTTCATACAGCCACGACTAACCCATTCCTTACAATTCATGGCGATAATACAACTCAAAAAGTAACTGTAGGTATACACATGCACTCTTTTACATTGAAGTGAATGCAAGGAATATTGGTCCCAGTGCAGAGGAAGGCCTTAATTTAAAATGTAAAGACATCCTTTTAATTTGTGTGTGTAATTTCATATCCAGGAAGTGGCTTCAAGTGAACTCCATTTCTTTTCCATTTTTAGCAACTGCTGAACTATTTTAACCAGGGATTGCCATCTGACTCAACTTGGTTTACTGATTTATCAATATTTTAAATTTGCCCATTGCCCATAATTTGTTGAAAAAAGTGGGATGATTTAAACCTAGCACTGACAGGAAAAGCCATTTTTAGTTTAATTTTTTCAATTCCCTGTTGACAGACACTAATTAGTCTCAAATATTACGCAGTTTTCTATCTCAGCTCTAGGGGAAATGAATGCAGTGCTTTCTCTTGGATGTGTGTAATGAAATATGTACTTAGTTTCTAAAATCATTTGGATGTTATATTTGCTTTTATGTGCTATTAAGAAACCCAAAAGGGTGAATCAAGGAACAGAATTGGTAGCTTCTAAATTGAGGTGGCATTGTTTCTCTCCAGCAGTAAAAGATGTTGAAATTCATCTGGAAATCCTTCTTAATCAAAATGGGAAGGACTGCACTCAGCCTTCAGCACCCATTTGGATTTTCAAAGAAGCTAAATTTAGGACAGAAACAGACATTAGATACCCCTTTGGAAGAGAGACATTCTTAACTAATGAAAGCATTTGAGTGCTACAGCACAAATTTCCCTCACCTCCAGGATTATGCAATTAGTTTCCTTTGATTATCTTCAGGATTTAAGCACAAGTTTCCTTCAAACTCTGATTTCAAAACACAGGACTGCCTCAAATCACCCTTCTGCAATGTTACTCTTAAAACCTCTAGTTATGGGCTCTCTCTAACATCTGTTTCTTCCAGTATGGATATCTGGCTTAGCAATAGAGAAAAACATCTTCAGCTGTCAAAAATTTCAGTGTTGCTGTTGCTTCTTGTTTTCAGGAAATACTGCCAAATGTTTTATATTAAGAAAATGATTACCTTTCAACATGTTTAGCATCACATTTCTAGTACGTTGTCTGAAATCTGAAAGTCTCTGTTTAACTGTTACACAATTCCAACAATTAATAACTTGGTGTGATGTGTTTGTCTTCTTCTTCAGAGGCTGAATGATAAAACTGGACCAGTTGCACCAGAAAAGAATTGACATTTTGGGAAGAAATGTAAAATTGCATATCCTGCTGTGATAGCACTTCATCAGGCTGCAACTTGTAGTCTCTCTCTGCAGGTATTACTTAGATGCAACAAGGAGCTAACTGCACACTGGAAAAGTGAATCTCCCTTAAGACATTTATTAACCCTTGTTGCTTTTTGTTGCACTGAAACTGAACTGTTTTCTTCAGATTTCATGAAACTATTAATTTGCATACGAGAACTTTGTAGTTTTGATGCTTTTTGCTAAATGCTGCTGCAGAATGAACAGCATCTTAACATATACTACATTGCTAATAAATAACCTGTTCTGGTTCCATTACTTGTTTGAAGAGTACTGAATTTTCAGTATTTGCCAATGACAAGTTGGTGTTCCTTTTACTTATTAAACATCAGTGTTTTTGAAACACCAGTTTTTCCAGGAGAGGACCGGGTTTTAAACTTTTTATTTAAAAAAGTAAATATTTTGCCAGAACAGGAGCTCTTAAGGAAGGACAAATGGTGGTTAATCATGAATTGGGTTTTTAAATAGACGGCTGGAAAAAACAGATCAGTTCAAAGGTTATAAACCTTACCAGATGAGAAAGCAACTCAAGTTCTGGTAGTGTTTTTACCTGACTCAAGTGCCTGTTGCTTACCTCTGTCGGGTTGGAATGGCTTTAGACAGCTGGGCATGCACTAAAGAATTCTTTGCGAAAGCCACAAGTGTGTTCAACTTTGCACCAGCAGCCACCCCCATTGATCTGCCTTTATTAGAAGTGTTTGTCACTGTAGATAGCTCAGGCAAATCCTTACCTGAGTTCCTTTCCACTAATAAATTACCAAAAAAGAAGTGGGGAGAGAAATTTCTCATTTCTCATAAAATGATGACGGGTGAAAAGGAAGTGTTTGAATATTTTCACTTTGAATAGTTGATTTTGTGGTTATGACTATGCAGTATAGTATAAAACAGATTGAAGCTGGGGGTTAATAGCCACTAATTTGAAATTGTGTGAATTATTAGTGGAAAATACTCAAATATACTTAGACCTTCACTGTGTACTTAATTGGAAGAACCTATTGTTTCTGCAATATCGTTTGGTTAAACATTGCACAGTTCTTACCTCATTTCTGTAAATAAGGTTTTGTGACTGTTTTGTATTGTGGATAATTCATAAAATGTGGATATTTTGATTTATAATATTTCTAATTGGTAGATTTAATTGAAAAGTAAAGAATAATTTATTTTTATATGTTCATGGGAATTTTTTTAAAAGTCACAAATCACTTTTGTAGATAATTTACTAAAGTAAACCAGTGTGGTTTAATTTACTTAAACCACTCATTTAATATTCTGTAACAATTTGTATAAAAAGTTGCTGTTTTGCCTAGATGTAAAATTGCAAGTTTATATAAAGATATGTACAAAGCTTTTGTTAATAAATTTTAATATTGTTTATGGTTGTAAACCTAACATGACTCAACTTTCTTTTTATTTCCTCTTATTTCAGTTCCTTAGTATGCCAGGGACTTGTTATTTGAGGGATGGCGAGAACCATTATCCAAAAAAATCTTAACTTCCCAAATTGTGCTAATGTTGGATGGATGTCAGCACCAGCCATATTCACATTATTAAATGAGGCACTGCTTATTATATAGCTAGCAGATGATGCTTTCCTAATGTCTAAGTTATTGTGTTCCACTGCATTAGTAAAAACTGTCACTTTAGATGGGCAGGAGACTGACAGCCTGGTGTTTGTTTAGCAGTCATCACTTATGTCTCATTCTCCCTGATGCCCAGCATCAAAACTCCCTAGACCTCCAGCCCTGCTCTAAATGTGATTAGTTCTGTCTCTAAAGTGCTCATAATTTAAACAAATCAAATGGTTTGGGAGACATTCGGTCATATAAAAAAGCCAGAATGTTCCATGTCTGCTTCTCTGATCTCAAACGTACCTAACGGGACAGTGGGGATCTCTCCATTTGGCTTTGTGGGCTTTCCACTCGCACAAGTAGTAGAAAGAGACAAATGCATGTTAACACATGTAGTAAAATCAGACAGCAAAATGTTTATATTCAGAAAAGTCAGTATCTGTTCCCAAAGACATTTGGAAAACGGTGGCGGTGGTGGTTCCATAGTGATAAATGATTATTTATTAGGAGGTGCAGCAAAGTGAGTTGTGCTGGGAGTAGAGTTCAATTCCACTTGGTGATGGCCTCACTGAAACCTCCCACCTAAGATGATAACATTTATGTAAACACCTGTAGTGTGCTCTCCACTGCCAACTGGACCATAGCATGGCATGTGTGTTTGTGTGTGTGTGTTTTTTAAGCTGGGGGTCTAAATCCCAGAATTATCCATTCTGGAATTTCCACCTACTCAACCCTAGCTTCTTGTTAGAAAACAAAACTGTCCCTGGAACTCCCAGCAAGCACCAGGGCAGATTTCTTTTCTAACAGGGAGAATTCTGGGATTTGAAGTAGGAAGGAAGGAGATGCACATTCCTAAACAAAGTCTTCCAAAGGGAAAAAAAGATTTCTCACTCCTGATCAGGTTTTCCTCTCAACCTTAGCTACAAAGGATGGAAATTTAACAATTTTTCTGAACTGTCTTGAATTTCTTTTGTGGATGTAAATAAATACACTACATGCCTGAGTTTACTCTCTTGTTCCAATAGGGAAGTTTCCTCTTCTAGCATTGTTACAAGCTTAAAAACAGCTCTTTGACAGCTGAGGATTTGGTTATACAGTCAGATTTTAAGGAAATACACAGATGCTCAACTCAGACACTAAAGCCCAATCTATACTTCAAGTATAGGTTCTAACCCAGTCAAGAATGTGACTGGGTTATTACCAGTCACATTCTAAATATGAGTCGTATGCAATATTTAGTATTGTTCACTTTACAAACTACATTTTAACTCCTTACACTGTGCAGTAATGAACAGGCAGTCTAACACAGGCACTACTAAACAAATGGAACAAACAGACTTCAGACACCAAGTGTCAACATCTGTCTCCATACATTGCTTCTCTGCAAGTTTTCATCTGAGCATTAGTTTTTACATATGCCCCAGTAGGAGGGATACAAGCCAAATATATGCATGTTCCAGTTTGTTATGCACATACATATATATGTGAGGTTGTGTGTGTGTATTAGTTTCATGTGTGCACCCCAAAAAAGCTAGAGCATCCCTGTAATTAGTGTAACGTGTCCTTATTGTAGATACTTTTATACCAAATGACAGTGTTTTTGTAAGTCGTTTTGTAAAAAGAAAAAATACCTTCCATGCAAGTGTTACAGGAAGGCATAAAATGTATTTATTTACTAAGGCACATGACATACTGAAATACTGAGGTAAAAAAATACAAGTTACGGCATATGTTGTTTAAAATATTCCATTCTGATAAGTAACATTCTTCAGGACATTCAGCTTTTTGCAGATTTTTTCTTCTGGACAAGTTCAACCAGCAATTTATATCTAGCCATACATTCTTCCTGCAAAGAGAGGGGGGAGGTTAAAGAGAAATATTAGCAGTAAGAAGATTAAGGTATATTTTTACTTTTGTCAGAAACTATACTTAAAAAGTTAATGGAGCACATTACCCTATTGACAGGTTGTGGAATATTTATACGGAGGATTTTCCCAAATGTTCAAGTTAACGTTACTGCCATTCTTCGTATGTGTGTGTACCTGAATGTACAAGTCCATGAAATAATACTAACAATTCAACAGAACTAAAGGAAACAAAAGGTTTTTTTGTTTTGTTTTTGCTTTCTAGCTTGTTAATATAGGAAATTCCTGATTGAAAATGCAATGCTAGGAATTAATTTTTGGCCTGAGACGTAGGTTCTCGTTGATCTGCCAGTTTAGAAACATTGTCGCCAAGTCATGCCCTCAAAGAGCCTTAGCCTTGAAAGAAGGCTGAAACTTGCATGCAGGAGAGATTAGTCACATTCCACGCCTGGTTCTTAGTGACATTTGCTAAAAGCCAAAGTGCATCCCCTCCTCCCACAGGTTGAACTTTTGGCATAATCGAGGAGGCAGCACCCTGCTGTTTAAGCACTTCCCTCTCCAGCTCCTCTTGCAAGGCTGACCCCTTTTAGAACCTAGCTAGGGACAAATTACATGACAAGCCAGGAGCACAGCCAGTGCTTCCTAGAATTATACTTTCATGTCCTCTGTATGTTTCCACTGTTGCAGGTTTGTGGAAACAGGTGGTAGAAAATGTGAGAAAGGCAGGGCTGTCATTGACAAACATGGAAACAGGAGGCCCTGTTTAAAATTCAAATCCACTTCCTTCCAAGCTTTGCTCTTATTCTGAATATACAGTTAAGACAGATAGCTCTATCATAAAACACTATTTGCTACAATTGTTTAGTTTGTAATACAGAAATACTGAAAGATTCATTTGTGACTTGAGCCCATACTTTACTCTTTCACACAAAAAATGACATTACCTTACTTTTCCCCGGAACATATTTTGCAATCTTATCCCAGCGCTCTCCTGTTCCTTTTGGATACTGCTGTAATGCTAGTTCCAGAAGCTTCTGCTGATTCTGAGTCCACAAGTCTTCTGAACTGCGACACTTCTCTCTTTTCCTGGTCTCATCATCACTCTGCTCCTCTTGTTTTACTGTGTCAAAGTCTTTTTGTCGCTTTCCTCTACACTTATCTCCTCTTTCTGTTGCATCTTTTGTTACTGGAAGTATTGTTTCCAAGGCCTTTGGAACTGTTTTCCGCTTGCGGTGTCTGGCTTCAGTCAATAATGTCTCATGTTGATCTGCTGTTGCCATATCTTTTGGTTCTCTGTCACTGCTATACTTTACAATTTCATCTCCTTCCTCCTCTTCATCCTCCTCCTCTTTTTCTCGCTGAGTGATTATATGATCTGATAAGTTAACACTGGCTTTGTTTGATCTTGCATTTTGGGCCAACATTTTCAGCTCTGACAACCTAACAGTACCTGGAGACAGAGCACCATTTTCAGCTTTGTTTATGATTAATTAATCAGGTAACCAAAGGAAGAGAGTATTACTATAGCAGCAACAATTATCATCATCATCCAGTTACCCACAGATGTGCTTTTAAAAATCAAATGCACAAATTAAAAGTTTGAAGCTGATTAACACAATAGGTTATATCCAGAGTTTGTCATATTAACAGCAAATCCACTGAAATTAGACATCAGGTAGAAATCAGTAGGACTTCAGTTAGTCATGGCTAAGTATGGGGAGGTTTGAATCCATCCTACTGGCTAACATCTGCAGCCTTGCTGAGGCTAACTGATGAGATGTGAGGGCTCAACTTGGTTGCATGTCTAGTCATGTACTCAGTGATCCCCAACCTTTTTAAGACCGCAGACCAGTTGGAGGGGACAGGGTCCATGCATGGGGGCCAACCCCTGCACTTGTGCGCATGCACAGAGGGGCAGTGCGCGGGCACTCACGGGTATGTGCAGAGGGGTAGCGCGCTCACGCTCTGCATACACACACATGCACATTCGCAAAAGGGTCAAGGGTGCTTGCACAGTGTTTGTGCAGAATGTGTTGGGGCGGGAGATCTGTCTCTGCAGACTGGGGGTTGGGGACCCCTGATGTACATGATCACATAACCAAGATTTGTCCCAGCACATTTACAGTTAGCCACAGTTGGTTGCAGCAAGTTAAGCAACCCTTATACCACTTACAGGATTCTATAATTGGGCTTCTGTTTTTAATTGTACTCTTCATGGCAGTCACACTTGGTTTAAACAATTCCAGCTTCATTTCAACTGTACCAGTCATTGCAGCTGTAGTCTCCCCTAAAATGACTGCAGTGGCCCCACAGAAAGAGGAGGAAAAAAACTACAGCAATACCTAGTTATCTGAACTCCTTTCTCCATTTTATGCCATACTTTAGTCATCCTTGCACTGTTGGCAACTTCAGACAGCCTCACATTATACTATTTTTGTTACAGTTTATTTACAATTCATATTTCTCCTATTGCTAGGACCCAAGGGGACTCACAACACAGTTGAAGACAAATACAACTTAAAAAGCAGATATTGCTAAAAACACAATGTCTGAAATCCTGTTCATGAAGCTTTTCCACATAAACCTGATGACATCATCAATTGTGCTGATTTTTGTGGGGGCAAAAAAAAAATTCCATTCCTCCTTAAGATTCTGAGGGTCCCATGGAATCACTCATCATGGAGAGACCATTGGGGACCATGGGAGCTGGAGTCATTTAAGTTAAAAAAAGTGCTGCCAACAGGATGACTTTATCAGCAGTGTCAGTTTTTAGAAATTAGAGGTTTGCCCAAAATGAAGTACTAGAGACCTTCTGGGGAGAGAGAATCAGAAATGTTTTATTTCTGAAAAAAATCACGATGACATTTTTAGCCCATATGAACAGGATTTCAGACTATAAATTTAATCTACTGATGGGGGTATTGGTATACGAATTATCCCGCACAGGTGGCGTTAACGAGGGTCCACTCACTGATCCTACACGCTGTGGCGCCATTCATAGAATCGTGCTGTCCGTATCTGCAGCGGATGGGTGAGTGGACCGTCTGGCCTCATGGGGCTGGACCCTCATTAACATCACCTGTGTGGGGATAATTCGTGTACGAATACCCCCATCTCTAGTTTCATCGTATTATAACAACATTGGAACTAAAATAATTTTAAAGGACAAATCAGAAAATGCCCGTCTTCTCCCAGTAACTGCCCTGTTCCAGTAGCTTGTCAGTTGCCCAAAGTCTGCATAATTAAAAAGGTCTTTTCCTGCCCAGTGGAAGGAGAACACCAAGTTCAACCTAGTCTCTCTTTTAAAGAGTTAATAGGTGTGTATATGCAGACACATTTTCCCCCCATATCAGTTTCCAGTGAAGTTAATTCAGTTAAAATTTGCTGTATCACCTACAGCTAGCTTTCATCAGTCTACACTCCTAAGGAAGGAAGGAACATAAAGCATTCTAGAACCACCACCCACCTGCTAGTTATGGAGGCAGTCGCTCTCCTCGAGTTTGCCCATGCTGCAGAAGAAGCAACTGCACCATCCAGCTTCATGTTTTACAAATACATTGGCCAAAATTCTATTGGTGAGTTACATGCACACAAGAGTACTGATGGCAGCTGCTACAGCTAATTACAGCTGACAACGTGCTGGGCTCATGATACCAGTTAGACTTATGACCAATTCCTTCTCAATCAGCTGTGGTAACTTCCAGGTTTCCTTCTGCATCTGTATAAATATCCAATAGCAGTCTGGCCGCTGCTTTAACATTACTGCTTTTGTAGTGACAACATTTACTGGGGTCTGCCACCAGTGCAGTGTTTCATAGAAATCATAGAAAAGTGAAGTTGGAAGGGGCCTACAAGGCCATCAAGTCCAACCCCCTGCTCAATGCAGAAATACAATCAAAGCATTTCTGCCAGGTGATTATCTAAGTTTTTCTTGAACGCCTCCAGTGTTGGACCACTCACCAACTCCTGAGGTAACTAATTCATCTTAGTGAAATGAAAACAATACATCTTCTAAGCCTAATGGAGCAGCTGATTCTGTGCATGATTGTGATATTAGAGCTGAGATATATGAGACTGTCTTCTACATTGTGGTTCCAGATTTAAGGAGCTGGCTAATCCTAGACAACAGGCCAAGCAGACTCAAGCAGTCACTTCATTCCCTAAGCAGAATCCTGGGAATTTCAGCCAACAAAGACAACTCCAGACACCTACATTTCACTTGGCTTGCCTCAAAGACTGCACAGCCTAGTGAGCAGCAAAACCACAAATCCAGAAGCACCATGATAGCTTCCTTTCTTAATAAAATAAACAACAGGAAGAAGACTGGAAAAGCCATGCAGATTCAATAGGTAGCCCCTTCTCTGAGTGAAATGTAGATGGGTTTATGGGATGAAATTCCCAGAATTCTGTCTGGAAAATTCTTGGAGAATTCTAGCAGTCCGCATCAAAAGAACGAACAAACCCAAAAAGCGCACCTCTTGTTTTCACTTAATAGCTAAAAAAAAAAATTATACAATTACCTGGCACACATGTAACTGAATCTTTAATCTGTTTGGCCTTCGTTATAACCTGTTTAGGAAGGAAGAAAACATATTTAATTTATATATTAAAATTTAGGAAGATAGCTGCATTCAGATGTATTGAAAATTGATTTTAAAAAACACCTAGATATACCAAAGAATACTAATATTTTGTCAAGGCCAGAGCTACTGACACTTGTAAGTCCCTTTTTTTAACAAGTACCTGACTTACTTAACTGAAAAATCTTGAGCATATCCCAGAACAAAATTTCGCCTCAAACAGCAGGCTGAATCAATCCAGTGAATGGTTTATACTGTACATTGCTGCTTATATACCGCCCCATAGTGCTTTAAGCACTCTCTGGGCAGTTTACAAGTTAATTATGCAGGCTACACATCCCCCCCCCCCCAGTGAGCTGGGTACTCCTTTTACTGACCTCGGAAGGATAGGGAAGGATAGTAGGCTGAGTCAACCTTGAGCCGCTACCTGGAATTGAACCCCAGGTTGTGAGCACAGTTTTGGCTGCAGTACAGCAGTTTAACCACTGCGCCACGAGGCTCTTAATATATGCATGTAATACATGCCCAATGTTTGTGAATGGCATGCTCCTGTTCCACCTCAGCTTCATAGACAGATTTTTCAGAAGCCAAAAGGCTATGACAGATAGGTATTTGTAAAAGAGGGGGAGTCAGTCACTGCTATTTGAAGGGGAAGGGGCAAATCCTGTACCAGAGCTTTACAGTGTCCACTGAAAGCTGCTCCCTGTGACCACAAAGGATGAAAAAGAAGGGGGGGGAGGAATGCAGCAAGTATCTGAAAGGGTAGGAAAACAAAAGTAGCTAAAAGGAAAGATCTAATGTAACTAAGGATCTCCTTCCCAGTGATATTAAATTGAGACAGGAGAATAACAATTCTATCCATGTAAATTACATGGAGCATAAAGGCAAGCTCCCCAGAAAGCCCACACTCACTCACTCTACATTGAAGGGAGAGGAAAATGAGACAAGATGTGTCCCTTGGCCTTGCAAAGACAAAGCCTTGTGGCATTTTTTTTTTAAAAAAAACAAGTTTATTGGGCACAAACACAAGCAGACGAGAGTCCAGTTCTTCATTCACAAGCTATTTTTGAAAGTTGAAGGATCTATTTTTCATCAGCCAAGATGAAAGTTTTCAGGATAAGCTATAGGAAGTGGTCCTTTGCCATTCCGGAATGTGTATAAGGCATCATATGTTGCCGTTGTGATCAAGATTTTACTCAGTATATAGGGACCCAAGCTGCTAGTTTATTTTTGACCTCCAGTAATTCCTAGTCTTATAAAACATATTCCCCATTACTAATCTTAGCAACTCCCTTCATCTCTCTCTCTCTTTCTCCTTCATGCTTTGGTCTTCTCAGTGCTGCACTTCCCATCTTTTTCCTAGCCCCCATTTCTCATATTTATGCCATGCCTCAGGGAGCTCACAGTTGCAGTAATATTAGCCACAATATTTCAAGAGCATTTTAATTGTTTTGTCTTTTTATTGTATTTTAAATGTTGTAAGCTGCCCAGAGACCTTTTGTTAGTGGAGTCAGCATATAAGTTAAATAAATAAATAAAAATAAAATAAATACAGTGGTGCCTCGCTTAACGAGCGCCTCGTTTAACGACAAATCCGCATAGCGACGGGCAGCGAAAATGGCGGCCGTATAGAGGATTTTCATTTCAAGGTGAGTTTTAAGCCCATAGGAATGCATTAAACGGGGTTTAATGCATTCCTATGGGCTTTTTCTTTTTGCATAGCAACGAATCCGGATAGCGACGATTTTTCTGGAATGGATTATCGTCGCTATGCGGGGCACCACTGTATGAGCTCCCCCATTTTATACATACAAACTATCTTGAAAGAGAGTAGACCAGCCTGCCACAACCAACCAACATTTTGGACATGTTGAGCTACAAGCCCCACCAGCCTTAGCCGGAAGAACGGACAAAGGACATGGTGAGTGTTGTAGTCAAAACGATCTGGAGTGAACCATGCTGGAGGCTGTTGACTTAGGGTGAGGGTGACTGATCCAATGTTATCCAAGGGGATTTGCGGGTGGAGCTGGGACGGAACCTGGGAGCCCCTCACTCAACTCCGGTAGTCTTAGCTGAAGGCAGTCTGGATATACTGGTGACAATTGGTGGGTAGGAAAAGGGAGATCAAGGTTCAGTGTTGGGCTTACTGGGGTATATTAGGACAATCATTCTTCAGCTTTACCTACTTCATGTAGTTTGGATACAGAAATGTTGAAAAACTCTTGACAGCTTATATCAATGTGATACAGAAGTAAATGGACCACTCAATCATTCTGGCTAGCTTCACCCACCACTCTGCTCTGGCTCTAAAAGCAGCACAAAGAGAGGAGAGGCTTGTTTTCTCACTTCTGATTATTTTGACAAATCTAGCTAAGATTTTCTAAACTTTATTTTTTCCAAGGACAGAGTACAAGACCGTTAGCTCTCTCTCTCTCTCTCTCTCCCCCCTGTGCTCTCTTGTAAGACAAATAAATCCACTTCACTTTTCAGCTCATTTGTCTACAGAATCTCCTCCCAAATAGTAATATCAATCTTGATAGATTTAACATAGATGCCAGCTTCTCTGAAAGTCAACACCTCATACCAACAACAGAACTTTAAAATCAATAGGCTTCTACCCATGAGGTTAATCTAGGCAGCCTAATGATAGTTAATCTTTTCCCTATCTTGTCTTTAACATTATGGGATGCTTTTATAAGCATACCCCCTTCCCCTTTACCTCACACTGCCAGGCACCATGCTAATTAGAAAAATGTGCTCGCTTCTACCCACCTGTCTATTGTTTTGCTGCCTACCTGGGCCTTTTCCATGCAGGCAGCAAATCCCACCATCCGTCTGCTACTGCAACCTGAATACAAGAGATTAGTGGCCACAGAAGCCAGCAGAATCAGTTTACATTATCTCCAGCAAGCAAATGATATTATTTCATGGAGGATGGAACCAGAGAGATCTTTGCTGTCAGTTCAGAAAAACTGCAATTAATAACCACATTAAAGTGTGTTCTGTATGCCAGAGTAGTTTATTTTTCACAATTTTAACTCCCTTTTAACTTTCAAAGAAATAATGGCCATGATATGGGGGCAGGGCACCACCCTCTATTCATAAACCTACTTCCAGCAGAAAAGGCTCCAGGATGGGGTGGGAGACTGACCAGTAGCTTTGCTAAGATGGGGGATTCTGGGAGTTACAGTCCAAAAAAGCAGTTTTTTCAAAGCTTTGTGCCAGAGGAGGCCCTAACTCTGCAAAGGAGAGAGGAGAGGTGTAACCAAAGAAAGAAACTTACAAGCCTCCTTCCACATATTAAATAATACCCACTGCTCTCTGGATCACAGTTTACACCAACAAATTGTGGCATAACTGTCTGAGGGACTTTTTATCTTTTCAGAACTTGAGAAGATCATTTGCACTCAAATCTCCATTTGACTTATCATTTAAGGAGATCAACTAATATATTCAGAATACCCAGTGTCAACAGCATTTAGTCTCCTAAACAATGGAATAAAGTACAGTGGTGCCTCGCTTTACAATTGTCCCGCATTACAATGAAACTGCTTAACAATGATCTTTTTGCTATTGCAATCGCAAAATGATGGTCCGAATGGGGGAATTTTGCTTTACGATGATCAGTTCCCTGCTTCAGGAACCAATTCTTCGCAAAACGACGTTTTTCGAACAGCTGATCGGCGGTTTCAAAATGGTTGCTGGGTGATTAAAATGGCTCCCCGCTGTGTTTAGGGACGGATTCCTCGCTATACAGGCAGCGAAAATGGCCACCGTATGGAGGATCTTCACTGGACAGTGAGTTTTTTCCCCACTGGAACACACTGAACGGGTTTCAATGCATTTCAATTGTTTTTTTTTCTTTTCACTTTATGATGTTTTCGCTTACCGGCGATTTTCCTGGAATGGATTATCGTCATTAAGCGAGGCACCACTGTACTAGAGAGATGGCTATGAGCTCATCGCTTTCATGGCTATGAGTTAGGTATCTGGCTGCAAAAGCAGAATTTGCCTTCTTACTGTGTCTTCTGGGAGAACAGCCAGCCTGTGTAACCTTATAGTCCAGATAGGCGGGATATAAATTCAATAAATAATAATAATAATAATTGGGCAAGCTGTACAGTCCCAGAATACCTCAGAAAAAGAGAATGGGATATTATTTATGGGTACACTGTTCATTAGACCCTCAAAAGGGTTGCTATAAATTGGAACCAACCTAATGGCATATAACTATTATGTTATCTGTCACAGAACTATGCAGGATATCTGGTGACATGTGGCCATCAAAACCCAGATGAAATTCCAACAATGTTCAGCAAGACAAATACCTGCTCGGGTATCACCAAACCCACATCATGTGTTCTAGACAAATAGCATCCGCCTACACAATATGATCGCTGCAGATATTGCTCTCCCTGCATCTTGCAAAACTGGCACCCATGAGCTACTGAGTTCCAACATACAGGCAACAATGTCTGGTTGACCAAGGTGATTTTAAAATGAATTATTGTATTCTGTTGTTTTACTTATGTTCCTTTTGGCTATCGCTCTTGGTTCCAACCTCCCCCCTCCCCCGTGGATACTGAAAACCATGGATAATAACAAACATTTAAGGAAAAAAACAGGAAAAATTATTTTCACATATTGGTAATGCATGTGAAAATAATTTTTTTTCTGTTTCCCCACCCCCCCAGTGGTGGAGGGCGCCAGAGACTGATGTATTCTTTACTAACAAGTATTCATAACATGGTCTCTGGTTCTCTCTAGTGGCCAGTTCTGGTAATGTATGCGGACACAATTTTTTTCTAGTTTTTTTTTCCTTTTAGTATTTTTAATATTTTCAGGCTGTGGGTGCGTGAATCAGTGGATACTGATCCCATGGATAAGCAGGTCCTAATTCTTCTTAAATATTGCAGTTATTTATTATTTATTACAATTACGTATCCTGTAATAATTATTTTTTTAACATTGTTTCTTTTAATACTGTAA